GGTTATTCTTCATGTACCTGTATTGCTACAATGATATCAGAATCAACAGATGCAGGAACTATTAGTGGTTAGTTAATGATAATGTGTATCTAATCTATTGCACACATTCAGTTGCTATTGCTGTACCTATCACTGGTCTATTAACTGGACTCATTACTGCAGTAATTACTAGTATCATTTGTTTAATAATGAGGAAAAAGGGAAGGACTACCAACTCTAAAGAAACAGATCTGTGTGGCCCTGTATATGATTTACCAGTAGTAGATAATAAACAATTAGAAGAAAAACACATTGACGTTCAACGAAACACTGCATATGGACAAGCATTTTGATAAAATAATTTTAAAATTGTGTACTTTTAATAGCTCATTTGTGGTTATATGTACATCATTATATGGCAACAATATAATCATCCAATTCTATTTATTATGAAGTCATGCAGTCAATCACTTATTGTATATAGTTTTAATGCTTAGTGTTTTGTGATAACTATCATGCACACACCATCTGTTGCAATAAGTTGTAGTGTCCATACTACTCATGATAGTAGTGTTATCTGTGGCATATGGTGGGTGTATGTGTAGTGTGTGGGTTGGTAGGAGTGTTATAGGAAGAGAACAACACAGCAAAATGCTGTAGACTAATTTGTAGACAATTTATTGTTGATAAGGAGACTAGCTAGACCTTTCTTATTATCTCTACTGGCACAATGGCTACTCCTTGTGTTCTCTGGTGTCTTGTGTTGGTTGATCTTATTTTACTATCATCTGAAGCAGAGCTAGTTCAAACCTCTCCATCTTATACCCCACTGTGTCCTGGTGATAGACTAGTACTCACTTGTACAACTACCACTGGGAGTACATTTTGGAGAATACCTGGACAAAGGAATGAAGCAGAACCAGTATCAGGGCCTAAAGTTGTTGAAGGTCTAATGCTTAATGTTACTAGCATCAATGGTATTACAATAACAACTACTGGTATCTATCAGTCAATCAATGTGTCACTCAATGGGTCTGAGGTTGCTTGTGCAGGAGCATCAATAATTGCTGTATATGCTACAGTAACTATTACTATAGCAGGTTAGATATAATTCTAAAATTAATTCTGTTGAATGTTCCTATCATTTATAGATCCACCAGTAGCTGTGACTGATATAAATATAAATCCAATTGATGATAGTTCAATACTTATTACTTGGTTGTATCAACAGAACATTATAAAGTGTATAGTGAACTATACTGTTATGATTAATGACAGCAATGTATCTTCTCAGTACAGCTCTATTGGAAACAATATGACACTTACTTCCCTTATTATTGGTACTAATTATTCATTTATTATTATTCCTATTGATACTATTGGAAGAGAAGGACCTCCTTCATCATTAATGCAGTATATATGGAATGGTAAGTACTACACACACACACACACACACACACACACACACACACACACACACACACATTTACACACACACACTCATTGTATTTCTTATAGTACCAGCTCAAGTTGTTAATATTAGTTGGTATCAGATATCAAGTGATAGTGTTACAATATGGTGGAATAACACTGAGGTATGTTAAATAATATTTTATAAGTACTAAATTACTTTTTAATTCTAGAACTCAGTACAACGTCCTCCTACACAGAATTACATTTTAAATGTATTCAATGCACCAAATAGCTACAATACAACTTATACAGTCACTCTTGATTATACTAATGTCACTATTGGTGAATTACTCACTGATACAAACTACACTGTTACTATCATACCTGGTAATGTTATTGGATATGGGCCACCAGTCACTGTTAATGGTCAGTTCATTATTATCATTACAACTGATGTGTACAATTCACTTCATTAGTTAGTATATCTAGTACAATGAGTAGTAGTTCATCAA